CAGGGGCAGGGCGGGCAGAGGGGGCGGGGCCGGCAGAGGCTGTTTCCGTCTGGGCAGGTGGGCAGGTGCGCAGGTGGGCAGTGCGGGCGGAACAGGGAGGGGCAAGTCCTCCCGGCCAGGTGCGGCGGGGAGCCGGCGCTGTGGCGGCCACAGGTGATGCGCGTCAGGGGCAGGTTGCATGTGGCATTTTGGGGGCGGGCATGTGGGGGCAATTCAGAGACTGGAGGAAAGCGCGGGGCCGGACCTTGCTGCTAGGGCCACAGGTCGGGCAGGGAGGAGAGGGAGGTCAGAGAGGACGCGAGCCCTACACCTCTGCGCTGACGGGCCCCTGGCGGCCTGCTGGTTCACTGCGTCTGCCCCCTGGGACGAGTGGGCTTGCCTGTGCGGATGGAGAGGAAGGGGCGGCCCCCAGAAAGAGCGAGAGACTGGGATGGGGCCGGACTGCGGAAAGCAGGCAGCATGAGTGGATGGGGGGCATCTGCGGAGGGGTGGAGGGCGTCTCCTGAGGGGCTGAGGCCGGGGGCGGGGGCGCCCTGAGCAGAGCAGGAGGGCACTGGTGTAGGGGGCCCACCCCCACCAGGATAGGCTCAGGGAGAGCCACAGTCAGCAGAGGTGAAGGAGCAGCGGGTCCCTCCTGCACTGCCTGGAGCTAGGCCGGTTCCCGGCTCTGGGGAGGACTTGCTGGGCCTCACGGTTTGGTGCAGTGAGCCAGAAGACGCACGCTGGGAGGCCCCAGGCAGGTCCTCGGTCCAGCGAGGACCACAAGGCCACGGCCTCGCAGGCGCCCAGGACGCAGGCCAGGAGCATCTGGTGCCCCTGCACCGAACAGATCTCTGCCCAGGCTGGGCTTTGGGGTCGGGTGCTGGGTGCTCACAGGGACATTAATTGGCTCTCCTCTCTCTCTCTGTCCCCCATTTCCTCCCCAGGGGGGCTTTCTCTGTGGTCCGGCGCTGTGTCAAGCTCTGCACCGGCCATGAGTATGCAGCCAAGATCATCAACACCAAGAAGCTGTCGGCCAGAGGTAGGCATGGACTGTGTCGGCGGGGGCCGGGCTCCTGCAGGCCCAGAGCTCAGCGGGACGTGAGTGGTGCCTCTGGCCCAGTGGGGCCGGCAGCAGGGAGAGGGACCCATGCCCTCAGACTGGGGCTCACTCCTTGACTCTGGTTTCGGGGCTCACGGAGGGCTGGAGGTGGGGGCACTCGGAGGTCTGAAGACTTCTAGTGACCGATGCTATGGGGCTGCCGGAATGACCCCTCCAGGTCTTCCACACCAGGGAACAGCTTGCCAGCGCAGGGCAGGGCTCTGGGTCTGCAGGGGTGAGTGTGGTGCTGGGCGGGAGTCGGCCCTGGGCACGCGGCCTCACCCCGCCTACCTTGCCCCTTTGGAGCCCTTGCTGGGTGGCGGCCCAGGCTGGGCACGCAGATAGAACCTTGCCCTCTTGGGGTCCGACAGTGCTCCGTGTGGTGGGGGTTCTACCCTGAGCAGGTGACTCTGAGTACAGACTGAAGGGGGCGAGGGGCTGGGATCTGGGGCAGGGATCCAGCAGGCCCCCCAAGGGACCTTTAGCACCAAGGGACCCAGCCTGCTCTGTGGCCTGGGGGGTCCCATGGGTCTTCCAACCCCAGGGTCAGACAGGAGGAGGCCGGGTGACCCCTGGGCAGAGAGAGTCAAGTTAAGCCCCTGGCCTGGTGCTATCTCGCCTGCCAGGGGACCCCCAGTTAGTGTCTAGTCATGAGTCTGAGCTGAGAGGCTCCTTCTCTGGCCAAAGAGACACTGAGCTTAGCAGTGCTGGCCTGGATCCTGCCTGAGACTGTGGGGTCCAGTCTGTGGGGTCTGCAGGTCAGTCCAGTGGCCTGCCGGGCATGCAGCTGAGCCCACCCTGTGTGATTTCTTCAGGCCTCAGTGTTTCCAGGGGTGGGCACTCCTGTCCCAGCTCACGGTGAGGGGCCTGCAGTGCCCAGGTGGGTTAGTCCCACGTCCTCAGTGCTTGCTGTTCCTGTTGGGGCCCGAGGGCCGTGCGGAGGGTGTGAGCAGGGAAACTCTGGGCAGATCCAGAAGCATAAGCTCCCAACGGTCCTTCGAAGACAAAGGACCGTTGGGAGCTGCTTGGGGGACTGTAGTGGGCTCTGCTGGCCTCGGTGGCCTGGCCGTGGTGGCCAGGCCGGGAGGGGGAATGCCATGGATCTCCAGGTGACTCTGTGAGCCAGGGCAGCCTCCGGGCACGCGTGCCTGGACGAGGTGCTGCTGCTGAGCGTGTCCTAATGCATGCAGGCACGCACACACAGCGCTCCTGGAGCGCAGGGGAGCTCCCGAGGTCCCTGACACTGGGTGGGGGCACTGGTGGGTGCCGGCTTGCAGTGGTTTGGGAGGATATGTGTGTAGGTATCCTAAGGCAGGAAGAACATAGGCTTGTTCCAGGCCACAGGAGGAGGAGAGGGAGCCCCCCTCAGATTCCCCGAGACCGGTGAGGGGGCCCTCCCACGTGCCTGGCACTGAGCACACATCCACATGAGCCACCGCAACTCCATGTGTGGGGCGTGAGCACAGGGGAGGGCACGGAGCAGTAGGAGGGTCTTGAGGGATGAATAGGAGTTTGTGAGGCTCAAGCAGAGAAGGATGTGGGTATGTTTCTGTGGAATCATGCAGCTCCTCTGAAGTACCCTCACCCCCACACTGGGGGTTCCCCCAAAGTGTTCTACAGGTAGGGAGGGTCAGGATCAGCAGAAGCCTAAAACGCAGGTGTGTTGGGAGAGTACCACTTGCTCATTCTGCCCCTGCAGGAGCGCACCTGCTCGCCCCTTCCTGACCAGACGGCCTGCTTTGCTGCCTCCGTGTCCCTGAGGCCAGGTCCCTGGAGCCCCTGACAGTGGTGTGGCTGGGGAGCCGTGCAGAGCCTGGGGCTCCTGTCGGCCCTGCTCCGGGCCCGTGTCCTTGCTGGGCACACCTGGGATGGGTGGCGGGAGCAGGGCCGCGGCCAGGGCCTGTGGGGAGCCAGCGTGGCTGGCCCGCCCCGTCCTGCCTTCCCTCGGGGCGGGGCGGGGGGGCCCTGCTGCTTTGCCCTCCATGCTCAGACCTCTGCACTGCCCAGCACTGGGGGGGTCTGGGACATTTTTGTTTCCTGTGTCACTCTTCATGATGGAAAATTTCAAAATCCCTAAATATAGAGAAAGTGACAGAATGATCCCCCAGCTTCAACAGCTATCGACTCTCAGCCAATTTTGCTCCATCTGTAACCCCCCCGCCCCCATCCCGCAGCGCATCCCAGACGGCCTGTCATTTTGCACATGGTGTTCAGCATGTTTCTCTGACGGAAAAGCAGTCTACAGACAACTGGTCGCCTCCCCTGTGCGGGGATCTCGGGGGTCCTTGGACCCTCCGCAGCCCCTCCCAGCCTTCCTAGCTGAGGGGACCAGTGGGAGGGAGGGGACAGGGTCTCCACGTGGACTCTCACCTTCATGCTGAGTGTGGGCCAGCGATGCGCTGGGGCTCGGCACCCCCCGCCCCCGCCGTGCCTCAGTGTCCCCAGCCCTAATAGGGATAAAATTACTGTGTGCTTATTTCCAGCCATGCAGGGAGTAGCATGCTTAGGAGTGGCCTGCAGGCACAGTGCTGCCCGAGACCTCCCCTCTCTGCCTCGCTCCCCTGCTGGCCACCCAGCCTGCAGGCCCCGGGCCCCCTCCTCCATGAAGCTGCCCGGGCCTTCCCGCACAGCTCGGAAACCCCCGAGCCTGAAGGCATTTCTCCACTGACCGCTTGCTCCTGGAGGGCACTTGCAGCTCTGTGCCCTTCCTGCTCCCAGCCCCTCCGTGAGGCTGCTGGGCTGGCTTCTGCAAGCCCCAAGTTCTCGTCTGGCCCTGTCTTCTCCCTCCCACTAACTCTCCCCAGGCCCTTGGCTTCTTCAGTGCCTCAAACCCCTGGGGCCTTTGCATGTGTGTGCTCTCCGGAAACGCTTTTCCCGAACTTTCCGTTGGTGGCATTTCCTCGGACGAGTTTGCCCTCAGCCTCCAGTGGAATCTGGGACCCAAGCACCCCGTTTGTACTTTATGGCTGTCTTTCCCATCAGACTTCCGGGCCCTGTGGGCAGGGCCTCGATCTGCTCGGTTCACCGCCATGTCTCCCACACCCTGGTGGTGAGCGCTCCAGAAATTGGTGTTGAGGGGATGAACACATGCTTTGAGTGGACGCATTTTGACAAGGGCCAAGTACGGTGTATGCTGGAGATGGGTTAGGCTCCCAGGTGTGAGGCCAGGGTGGGGACGGGGGTGGAGGGTGTCTAGAGGGTTGACTGCAGCGTTGGGTCTGCGGGGTAGGCCCCTGGTCATCTGGACGCCCAGACACCTGAGCACCGGGGAGGTGCATTTCTGTGGAGGGGAAGCAGGGAGGCAAGGCCTGGCGGCCACTCTGCACACATACCCCGCAGGATCACAGAACGTGTCCTGAGCAAGGGCTCCCAGCCTGCTCTGTGGCAAGCGTCAAAGCGACTCCCTTGCCAGGAGGCCCATTTCCGAGATCTGTGCCCAGCTGTCCTTCTGGGAGGAGGGTGGAGAGGGGGCTGCGGGCTGTAGGGGCTAGAGTGTAAAGCTTGCTGTGTCATTGAGGAGGGGACTGTGAACAGAATTACTGAAGTACTGTTAAAAGCAGTTCGAGGGAAATTAATTGGCTGGGATAAGGTGGTCGTTGGGCACGAGAGTCTTAAAACCACGTCTTGTTGCCCCCCCCCACCCCCCGCTCATTGTCGGCACCAAGTGGCTGCTCTTGGGGGAAGTTTTGCTGGCTTTGGAGGGCATGCTGTGGGCATGAGCCCAGAGCACCCGGGAAGCAGGGGATGGCAATGACCCTGGGCGGCGGCTAAATGTGGGGGAGGAAGGACCAGCTGAGGAAAGGGGCCTGGAGCAGCGATCGTGCCCTGACCTTCAGCAGCACCGCATCTTCACGTGGCTTCTCAGTGACCTTCCTCACCCCCCGAGGTAGGGCTGGGCACCGCATTTCACAGATGAGAAAACCAGGTCCTACCGAAGCACAGACTTGATCAGGTACCCAGAGCTGTGCTGAGCAGAGCCTGGGGCAAGGGCAGCTTTAGGTTTCACCCAGCTGAGGGGGCTGACTGGGGTCAGGCATGGGGCTGACCTCACAGGTGGGGCTCACAAGTGGGGTTCACCTCATGGGTGGGGGGGTGATCTCTAGATGAGGGGATTGAGTGGGGGATCGGGCCTCACCTCTGGGCCTCCTGCGACCCCCCAGCTGATGCCCAGCTCACCCCCAGGTCCCTTCCTGGGTCAGCTGGGCAACCCTCTCCCTAGGGACCATGTGGCCCCATATGCCTTGGGGCGCCCCTGCGCGAAAGCATGATGGGGAGGAGTGAGCCCGACCCCCTCTCCCCAGAGAAACCTGAACCCGCCCAGGCCCCCTTCGCACAGCGGGACCGGGGTTTTGCCGCCGCGGGGACCCCCCATGACCCACAGCCCGGAAAACGACCCGGGCTCCGCGGAACGGAACTGGGTTAACGGAGGACGCGGCGCCGCATTGCAGGGGCGGCTGAGCATGCGCGGCCGGCGCCCCTCCCTCCCTTCTCCTCCCCTGTGCTCCGAGTAGGGGACCCCTCCCCACCGTCCCCTCCCCTCCTTCCTGTCCCCCCCACCTCCTCTCCCTTCCTCTTCCCTCGTCCAGACCCCTCCACCTTCCCCTCTCAAACGGTCCCCTCCGGGCTCAGAACCCCTCCCCTCCCTCTGCTCCTCCCTCCTGCCCACTCCCCTCTCCTCCCCACTCCCCTCCCCTCCCCAGCTCCGGAACAGCTTCCCTCTCCTCTGCTCCGGCACCCCTCCCGGCCTGGGCACCCCCTCCGCTCCGCTCGGAGCCTCCTCCCTGGCCGCTTGGAACCCCCTCCCCCGCCCACCCCCCCTGGGGCCTGAGCAAGGGCCTCAGAGTGTAAGCAGGTCCCAATTTCAGATAAACAATGTTTTGGTTTTTTTTAGAATAAGTATGTCTCAGACCCCCAACCAACTTTCAGTCCACTCTGCTGTC